TGAATTTGGAAAGTGAATATGTAAAGCATTGTATGATTCAGTGGGCCAGGAATTTTGGATACAATGTAAAGCTTGAACAATGGAAGAATATGGGGATGACAGGTTTGAAATTAACATTAAATTATAATTTAAAGGAAAAATTTTTATAAGAGGATGTATCACTGATATTTAACACTAGATAAGTTATTCAGAATGTACAAAGGTATTTCAAATGAATGTTGAAATGCAAATGTAAAGAAGGGATGTTTTATCATTTATGGTGGACCATGTGATAAAACAAAGAACTATTGGAGTAGGATTCGTATTCTAATACAGAAGATTCTCAAAATGAATATAAAGATAAAACCAGAAACTTTTCTCTTCAGTTTAATGGAAAATTTGGGAAAAAATATTTGGAACTTTGATGTTATATATGTTGATGGCAGCAAGATTACTTTATGCACAAAAATGGAATCCCCACAATGGATGAATGGTTGCAAAAGCTGATAAAGTTAGCAGAGATGGGAAAATTGATTGCTTTGATAAAAAAAATTCATAAGTACTTTTGTTTCTACTTGGAAACTGCTTCTTGACTTTGTGCTTGAGATGGGAAAAATGAAACACTGATTTTGGGTTTTACTGATTAGATACATCTGTTATTATAGAAATTGCTAGTTTATACTAGTACGTAAAAGTAAAAAGTTGAGGTTCAATGTTTCTTCTTATTCTGCTGCACCAAAGAAAGTCAGAAGTCAATGCCTTTTCTTTTTTTTTTCACTTCTTCTCTATACTTTTCCCTTTTCCCTCCCCTATTTTTCCTATTATTTACTTTTGTATTTTTGTATTTTATACTATAAACTAATAAAAAGGAAAAAAAACGGTATCAAAGGTCTAAGAGTCAATATTTTTTCAAATAACAGCAAAGCGTTTTCTATCTTATAATACAATTTTATCCTTGAAAAGAAAAAAAACTGAGTCTCCTTGCAGTGTGAAAAGCCAAGTTATTACAGCAAAAGTTCATTGTTTCTTTCCCTGTTTCCTTTTCCTAGATACTGTATGGACTTTGTTTCTTTTTAATTACAGACAAAATCAAGAAGAGTGACATATCATCAAACATGGGTTTGTACATAACATCCTTTATTCCCCTTCCTCATTTAAATTTGATTCTTTTTTTTCTGGGCTAGTACAACAATCCATTATTCAAGAACAAATCATGATTGGCAATTATTTTTATATTTTCCTCTCCTTTTAAAGCAGGACTTTTCAGCTCATCAATTCCTTCATGAAGTTTCAGGTTGTCCATCAACTCCAAACATTTATTATTTATTTATTATGTATTTATTTATAAAATGTATTAGCCACCCATGTTATCATAAGGTAACTCTGGGCGGCTTATAGTTATATATAACTGTAAAAAGGAAATAATGTAATAAATAATACTTTACCTAACTGTTACAATGAATAATATTATTAACAACAACAGTGATCCCTTGAGTATTTCCCCACCCATCAATTCTGAAGATTGCTGGCCAACAATGTAATTTAAGATAGCCAGTTTTTGGGTAACAGCCTAGCAAGAAAGTCCTCTAGGGCCACTATAATAATTGTTTTCAGGAAAAATTAATCGAATCCATTCCAAATGTCATCTATTAAAGCCCTATAGGGCTGATTGAGACAAGTCTAGCTAGGAAGTGGAGACAATGATCATGGAAGAGTTGAATCCTGACCTTGTTAGTCCTGAGAAAATGAACAGGATCCTTGATGGAGTAAGTTCAGCCACTTGCATTTTAGATCCATGCCCCTCCTGGTTGTTTAAGGTCTCCTAAAAGGTGATGTGTAGATGGATCAATGTGATTATGAATGCATCCTTGAGATGGGGGATGGTCTATATCACCTCCTCAAAAAGTCATTAGTAGATCCACCAGAACTGGTCATTTTTTTCCCCAACCCTCCTTTTTCTCCTGCTGTGCATGTTTCCAGACCCATCCCAATTTTTTTCTTTTGCCTCTAGTTTTATCCAGCAATTTATGTAAAAAAAAACTTGGGATGTTAGAAGTATGTGTGTGTGTTTTCATTCATTCTTGATATAAAGTTTCATTAGACTCACATGTGTTAAAAATGTAGTAGATTCTTGTGGTATTGCTCTTTTTGAGGTTGTTCCCATAAAAATAATCAATATAAATATGAAAAAGTGTAGCATATTGTAGTTTTCAGCTTCCAGGCCATATTACTTAAGGAACTCTTGTAGGGTATCTGAACCCTATTATCATTTTTCTCTTCACTTTTTTTTCCTGAGACAAACTTCCCCGATTCCTTCAGCTTTCCTCCATAGGGCATGTCATGAAATCCCTATATTATTTTTGTCACTTTCCTCTGAACCTGTTCTAACCTATCAATGACTTTCTAGAAATATGATGCCTAGAATGCATAAAGCTCTTGATCTGTTTGGAACATTCAGTTTTCACTGAATAAGACATATATTATAAAAAAAATTAAACCCAAAAGCACATATATTTTTCTTCCATGATCACAACTTAAATATTCTGAAGAATATAAAAGGAAACTCAAATGAAAATTTCCTATAAATTCTACTATTTCTGTGTGATTCTATTATATCTAGAAAATAAAACAAATGGTCCAAAGTTTTATCAATTCCTACAGCTGACCTATAGCATTAAATGTACATTTTATTTCAATGTTCGTTCTATTCTATTCTATTCTATTCTATTCTATTCTATTCTATTCTATTCTATTCTATTCTATTCTATTCCATTCCATTCCATTATGTTCACCATTTACATTTTGCAGGCAGGCTAGCAGGACCAAATCAAAGCCTGGATCCAAATCCCATGGAAATCCCATGGGATGATATAAAATGAACCATGCATGCAAGAAACTCCTCAAACTTTGCACTGAAATGAAAAAAAAAATGGGATAATTTCTCCCAGACACAAGAAACTGGTAGCTAATTATAAGAAATATCTTCTTAAGGTTATTTCAGCCAAAGGAGACAATCCCAGTATTACAGGCAAGGGAATACTTAAGTTTTCTAAAATGACATGTTTGTTATTTTTCTTGATTAAATGATTGCAAAGTAATTTATTCATAGATTTGTTTTTGTTCAATTACATCACTTTTCCTTTATATACTATTTGAACAGAGGTAAAATATTGGTATGTCCATGTGTGTTAAAAGAGGGGGGGGGAATTACATGGAGAGTGCTTACTGTATTTTTTTACATGACTGTATATGGAGTGATTTGATGCATACTGAGAGAAAAAAAGCATTCAATCAAGCAACATGTGATATAAGAAAGGACAGAAATGTATGGATAATGGTGACAAGTGTCACATTGAAAGTTGCTATGTATACTAGTGCATTTCTGTTTCCTTTCATTTTTTTAATCTCAGATCTTTAATTTCTTTTAGTATTACTTATTTTTCTACATTCTGCATAACTTAACTGCTGCTTCCTCTGACAGTAAGCAGCATGATGGTGATGCATGTATCACCACACATCATAAAATTCTATAAATTTGCAATTCTGTCTATATTTTCTACAGAATTGCTTATTTACCAGAACCTAAAAGGTAATTCCAAGAAGGACAAAGGGATGAAATGCCAAACAACTATGACCAGAAAAATTCAATCACCATTATAAAAATCACATACATTTTAGGAAGGTAGTAAGATACTCTCATAAATAAACAAATAACAATTTTCCCAATATAGATTTTTTTTCATCTGTATATTTAAAGCTAGCAATGAAAATATGTACCATGCCACAGCTTTCAAATACTATTGTATCACAATTTGATGTATGTTCTCTGTGTTCCTCTGCTACAAAGCTATAGGATTTGGATTCTTGAGAAATAGCTATACTCTATATTTGTTCAGTTACATTAATTGTGATTAGTCCAAGAAAAGTGTATCATAAGATTGTAGATCAGAAACAACATATTCAATTGTTGAACTGTAACCAAAGCATTCAGAAATGTTCTTACCATTGTCATGTTAGTTTCCTAGACCTGAAATTTTTACAAGGTTTTTGTAATGCTTTCTGAAAACTAGTAATGCTTTATATCCTTGAACTAATACTTGGATTTTTAGATAGCTAGATTAGATATAACAAAAAAACTAAAGCCCATAAAAAGCCTAGTTTTCACTTTAAATAGGTTAATAACTTATGCAAAAATATTGGAACAATTTTCTCAAGTGACATTTTTACACTAACAGCATGACTCTGTCTTACAAACTGTGCTGTGACAAAAACAGAGTTTATCTTGTTTTTTTTCCCCAACCTGTTGCAGTGATTTTTATAGCATCAGCCAAAGCCTGGAAGGATAAAGTCCCCCAACAGGTGCTTATGAAAGGCATATGTCTTCTTTGGGAGAGCAGCATTGACATTAATTTCCTATATCATACTTATCTATCCTTAGGAAATCTTGAAGGAGGAGTACTTATTCCCTATTGTGCCATATATAGTTCTTTTGGTAACTGCCAGAGTAAAAAGCTGATTATCAGAAATCAAGCATCTCTTAGAAACGCATGTACTCTTTAACTGAAGAGCATGTTCACATAGCTAAGGGTAGCTAGCGCAGAAAGTGTGAAATTTATCTGGACCCAGGAGGTTCTTCCATCCAGATCACTGGGCAAGTTGATAAGAAAAACTGTCAACTGTTTTTCAAAAACCACTTTGGAAAAATGGTGAATTTGATTACCTTTACCACCTCTTCATTCCCTTTAAGTATGTTATGCTTTGGGCTTGAGATCAATTAACAGCTTCCTTGACAGCTTGGCACATCCATCAATTAGCTAGTCAAGTGACATTTTTATACCATGTTATCACCTTCAGATCTCTTATCTGTACTAGGCAGGTTAAAAGCTAATGGATTACGTCCTTTCTTTTGGCTTATATTTGGTACAGGAAGTTCCAGCAGGAGTTACAGAAATCTTAGGCTAGATTAATGTCAACTGTCCAGCTGGCGAATTCAACATTGAAGAAACTCTGCAGCCTTGAGGTGCCAAAAGAGATAATCTTTATTGAATAAACATCCTGGCACAGAAGAAGGAAAATCAACTCTAGTTTTCCCGTGTGAAGATTTGGTTAGTTAACAACAGTTTTTCATAACCCCCACCCAATCATGTTCACGTTGCCCAATCATGTTCTTTCTGTTTGTTATAGAAATGGTCCACTTCTCTGTCAGACACCTGCTTTTGATAACCTTGGGTCTCACGGCCCATGGATTGCTTCTTGAAAGTCCTGTTTCTTTCTCAGGCTCTCTATGGCAAGTTGAGCAGCGACAGAGGTTAGCAAGCATCTCAGCTCTTCAACCTTGACAATTAACATCGCTTTATGATGTAACATGTAGAAGAAACCTAACAATTTTTATGTATTCAAAGGAAAATGTTTAAGAAAAACATGAATTAATGAGAATCTGAAAATCCACTCATGACTTCAATTTCTTCAGAGCTTGTATAAGTATTCATCATATCAAGAAACCAAAGAGTGGGGTAAACAGAATAATGAACAATAATTACATGTAATTTAAATTCAATTCATATTCTTTAAAATAAGATACAGATAATATTATTTTTGTCCTGTTAGAAGTTACAGTTTGGTGACAATTGGAGATGTTTGGGATTATCTCCAAGGTTTGGTGGGATCATGTAAGTCTCCAGCCTCATTTAATACCTCTGTTCTAGAATTTCCTGTGTTTTGGCTTCTAGAGTACCACCTGCGTCTGCAGTTTTCAGTTCCTGGTGTTTTCAGCTCAGCAATATCATTGGCTGATGTGGTTTTCACCAAACTAGATCCAAGTAGCTCTTGTAGACATAAGGAAAATAAACTTCCCCAAATACTCTTAAACATTTCTCATGGGTTACTCTTATACTATAACCTGAACAGTATGTAAAATAACATGAACATCCAATACTCATTTCCACGTGCCTGGGAGAAGCCAAGAAATCAATTATCTCACATTGTGAAGCTCTGGAGAAGTGAAAAGAATCCAAATGAATGGTATTTATTTATTTCAAATTTGTGATTGCCATCCATCTCCTAGGGACCCTGGAAGGCTGATTGGTCCTTCAACTGGAAAAACAAGAAATTCTGTTGGTTAACTACACATCTACACACACAAAAGAATTATCATTAAGAAGGAAAATATATGATGCTCATCTGAAACTCTGAAAAAGAGTTGCTTTCAATCAGATCTAAAGTTTTGATATTTAAAAAAAAAACCTCATGCTTTTCTACCCAAATAGAATTTTGGGTATATCTAAAAGGCATCTTCCAGCAATTTTCCCAAAACGTGGCCAGCCTTGATCTTCCTGCCATACTCTCTAATCTTCCCTATATAGTAGACCTTCATTTGAAAATTAATATAGTTTTTGCACTATTTTTTCTAAAAATGTCTTATCCTCATACCATTTCCTATCTCTCAGAAGACATTCCCCCCCCCCATCCAGTTTGGGAACACCTGTTCTAGTCAAATGCCTACTAGATCAGGGCTTGTCAACCTTTTCACCCATTGTACCACTTTTAGGATATGGCAACATCCGAGTACCACCAGTCGCCTAGCAAGGTGTCAAAAACTTGACCAAAAAAAAGAAAAGAAAAGAAAAAAGTGATGAAATAGAAGTAGTCCTCGACTTACAACAGTTCGTTTAGTGACTGTTCGAAGTTACAATGGCACTGAAAAAAGTGCCCCCAAGCCACAGCCGAGCAAGACACCTGCTTGCCCATCCAGTGGCGCTCTTCCTCATGTCCGAGGTTTTCACTGTTGTGAACATTTCTGTTGAAGATTGGCAGTGGGGGTGGGGTGGGGGGTGTTTGGTTTTTATTCCCCCCATCTGCTGGGGGATTACAGCAGGTTTTGGTCACTTCACATGACCCTGGGACACTGTGACCATCATAAATATGAATCAGTTGCCAAGCACCTGAATGTAAATCACAAGATCCTGGAGATGCTGCAACATTCCAGCTGATCGGTGCTTCTTCGGGGCTCAGCAGAAGTGCCAGGATCAGTGCGGAGCTCCAGCTGGAGCCTGGTACTGATCCTGACGCTTCCACTGAGCCCTGACAGCTCCAAAGAAGCACTTATCCTGGCGCTTCCGCTGAGCCCTGACAGCCCTGCAGCTCCAGCCATCTCTCGCTCAGGCTTGTGCGGTGCTGCCACTGGTTCAGCAAATTCCCCTCCCCCGCTACCACTTTTCTAGGATGGTCATATACCACCTGCCAGATGCCAATGTACCCGTACCACTGGTTGAAAAGCCCTGTACTAGATTAACTGATCTCATATAACTGGAAAATAACTATTGTTACTGTTCTATTATATATTTGATAGCTGATTGACCTTAGTCACGAAAGTAAACTAAACAAGGAGTTAGCTAAAACAGGATGTACTTTACAAGTAGCAAGTACAAGTAAGAACATTTACAAAAGTCAGAAGACATTGTACAATCATGTTCACTTCAAAATAAGAGTAAACATGCTTGAGAAACTGCTATAAAGTTTTGTAATCCTAGACAGACTTTTCACAAAAAGGTCACACTTGAAATAGGAAACTGGGCAGAAGCTGCAGTATCAATCACTTATGTATCCTTCCATGTAACTGATACAGAAGCAAGATCCCTGTCTGAAAGATAGCAATATAAAGTTTGAGGCAACCATATCAAATACTTTAGCAACATTTAATGTTGCTGTGCATATCCATTTCTTTTTTAAGAATTACCCTATCTTAAATTTAAAAAAAAATATTTACATTTAAAATTTTTATATTTGGCTTTATGCATAGAAAGAAACAGCAAGCTTTACTGAATGATGAATAAAAAACCCAGTATCTTTATTATAATTAATTAAAATTCGGCAAATTGTGAACAAGGCTTTAGGTTTGCCTCAATCCTCCATCAACATGGATGTTAAGCAAGATAGAGAGAAAGAAAGCTGATCTGATGTTAGCAGTTAATTTTTTGTTTCTCATTTTGTACTATGCCATGGTTGACTTGAATTGAACTGAACTGAATCTACTGAATCTACTACATAACTCAGTGTTGTATATAGGGGTTCATGCAACATAGTAAATCTACTATAAATTCAAACATATTACCTGATGATTTCCTTCTGTGTTTGAGTTTAGCCATTCTGATTATGCAAAAGAGTTTGAAAAACTAACTGTAATCATTATGCACTAACTGGCATATTTCTAATTGGCAGATTTCTAACTACATCAACAACAAAGTCAAAAAAGCCACCCTTAAATCTCCTGCTTTCCATGTTCTCACTTCTTCTGCAACCAGACCAAACGATAGCTACCAGCAGAGGATACCATTCTACTTTGAAGTCTGAGACTTGCCACCTGCCTCCAGATTCTTGCTTCTCATAACTACTAGAAGTCCATCTTATGTCTAGCAGCATATCTGGATACATGGACAGAAAACAGGGCCAGTGGTCCTGCAGCTGCATAGGGCCCCCAGCAAACAGGTAATGGAGCAAAGGTACAAAAGTGACCTGGCTATGCACATCTTATAAGTGCTTCAGGACTGTGAGACTACAAGTTCACCCACATATTAATCCAGATCCCTGGGCAAGCAGTCAAAGGGATTTGGGGGTGGGGGGGAATAGTAGATCTACTCAACAGCTAATATAACGATGGGTTAGCAGACAGGTACATGGAATGGAGGAGTTCAAGAATTTTACTGCCCTATTTCTCCTCCTTTTGTCAATGCAAAGGACTATAGTCTTTCCTAAAACAGACTCCTCCAGCTCATTCAACATGAATCCATCTGCAATGTTAATCTCTAGGCCTGAATGTAGTGGAGGCACCCAAAGCTGGTCTTGTATTACTCGTAGATCCTTTAAACTAATCAGGCAAGGAAGGCAAATTGTGCCCTACACAACTTTATTTTATTTTTTTGTCTTCAGGCTGCAAACTTCGAAACCCTAGTATTGTACACAATTTCTGCTAGTCTTAAAAAAAAAGGGGGGAGGGGCGGTCAAACCTGGGAAGAAGACCGGGTGCGATGCGGCGAACTTTCTTGCGCGGAGAACCCAGCGCTCCTGGCAGGCCGGTTGGACACTCCCGAAAAGCAGCTTGCAGAGCGGGCGGGGCAACCCATCGCCACTTCGGGGAAAGGAAAAGGCCGGGGCTACCTCGCTAGCGGGTAAGTCAACAAGTTCGTGAGGCGGGGCTCCGGCAGCCGCGCGCCGAAACAGGCAGGTTGGCAGGCTGGGGAGTCCCAGCCCGTCACATTTCGCCGCGGGAGACGAGCGCTCCGCAACATAAACCTCCTGCCTCGAGGTGGCTGGGAGGGAGCCTCCGCCGCGCTGTCCCTGCGTTTCCTTCACAGGGTGCCTACTAGGGCGGGCGTGTGAGACCCGGCCCTTGGTCGCCGGTCCAAATTCCTACCGAACTACTCCTAGGATAAGGTAAAGCTGGTGGTTGCTTTGGGCTTGGCCAACGTCGTTTGCCAAGAATCCGGCAATCTGGGAACTGAAGGTTTCTCGAAGGACCTGGGGTGGTTCGACGTGGGAGCGGTTGCTCCAGATAGAGCAGTGGGCATTTTCTGGTAGCAACGTGGAATGCCTTTCCGACAGACCCTTTCGCTTTCGCTCTGCTTGGCTTTTTGACTCCGGGAGACTGCCAGGACAAGTCCTTGCAGTTTTCTTGGCAAAATTTCAGAACTAGTTTGCCATTGCCCGCTTCCTAAGGCAGAGCGAGTGTGTCTGGGCCGAGCTGGCTTCGTGACTTGAGGCAACACTAGAACTCATGGTTTTCTGGTGTCTTAACCACTACACCAAACTGGCTCTCACTTTGTCCCGTGCTAATTCTAACTTTCTGAATGTGAGGTGGCTACCTTCCCTCCCTCGGTTTTGCGCCGCGAGTGTTGTTGGACCCGCAGCTCGATCTCTTGTGCTCTTTTTCGTCCAAAACAGGGACTAATCCGAGAGTGGTGATGATCTTCGGCGGGGAGTTCTGGCTACACATTGCACATCTGATTCCCACCTCCCCCCCCCCGTCTGTCATTGCACAGTATTGTAGTAATAACTTTGAACGACTTTATAGGGTTACCCCAGTTGCTCAAGCAACGTTTGCAAAGCGTTTTAAATGCTGGAAACCTGCTAAATAAATTCTCTATTTCACTGTGAAAGTTTGAATATTAAAAAATGCTGGATTTGTTGTTATTGACCAAACTTTCCCTCAGGTGCTTTGAAACTGTATTACTGTTTCTATTCTGCAGCAGCAGAAGCTTCCCACAAGCTTTACTTCTGTAGCCAATTCAATAGTGTTCTTTATTATTTTATTTTTCCTTTCATAGCATTATCTTTTTCTCAGACAACTCAACCTCCACTCCCCAAGAACAGAGTCCTTGCCTGCATCCTTTTAGAAGTTGTAAAGTTTCTCCATAATTGTAAAAAAGTTTTTGTAGCCAAGTAAGCCTCTTTTTTTACTGCTTTAAAGCAAAACAAAAAACAAACCAACCCTTGGTTGAAACCTGAAATTACAGTGGGTGCTTTCTAATATAGTTTGTTTTTCTATTATAAGTATGTGCTTAACAGTCATTATTTTACTCCAACAGAATGCAATGATGGTACTGTTGCCAGAAATCCCTAAATGGACGATTTCTTTAATTTTAAGAATGAGAAGTTAAGCAAAGTTTAGAATAGCTTCCCCTAAAGTAGGACTTTCCCCTCATACCACCAGTGACCTGGAGGTCATTGACAGAAAAACTGGAGGGCCCACACTTGTAGATATTTGAGCTACATGAAATATTCTTTGTGGAATTAACACTTTGTCCGTTTTAAAGAAACCTTTTTGTACAACAGACTGAAATGGTTTCAGATCAAAATAGGATTAAAACTATGGCTTTGGTACATTGTAAAGATCGCTCACCGTGCAAAGATAGAAACTGGAAAAAAAGCTTTCTTGAGGAATTCAAATATTTGTATTCTATGTAAAAGTAAATTATTTTTGAACATACCTTAAGCCAATTGCTTGACACTGGCTTTAATTTTTGTTTCTTTTATACTTACCTGTCTAGGTAACCTGGTTGATCTCCATGGAATTCATTTATAAATTGTGTGATGCCCTTCAGAGTTGTCTGAAAATTACTTTTCAGAGAGATACTTTATTAGTCTAATGCAGCAGAAATGTGAAACTCACAAAACTTTGATGACTTGAAAAAGTTATTATTGCATATCCCAAAGATGCTTTTATTTTTCAAATGGCAACTACACTTTGATTTTTCCTGAGACATTTCACTTCACCTCTGAAGAGCTTCTTCATTGCTAACTGACTGATGGGGAAGGAAGGATTTTATACTCTGTTCAAAGAATTTCCAGGTCCCTTTTCTAAGCTGGGATATTGCAAGCAAATAAAACTCAAGGCACATTGCTGGTGGAAAGGAGACAATCCATTTATCCTATCCCCCAAAGCCAAGAGGTTTGCTCTTGAGGGTAACTGCAGAAAAAAATGGGGGTACAGAAAGTTTATGAGCCTGGGGGGTAAATGGTGTGTAGTGCTGGTTGTAGTGTGATACTGCCAAAAGGTCAATCTTAATTTTCTTCCTCATGTCAGTTGACTTGCCTTTTGTTGTGTAGATGGTGTTTGGGTAACCTATTTTTGGGTGTGGGGCAGGTTCTTTGTCTGGTTAACTGCTCTTGCCCAGGTACTTGGATTTGGTATTTGGTTTTGCTATTGTTAATTGATAGCTTAGCAGAAGTGCAATTTAGCAATCTATATTTACAAGGTATTTCCCATAGTTTCCAGTCTCACTGGATCATGGATTTGTGTTAAAAGTTAAAGAGATAGCTGAGACAGTGAGATAAATAAAATTAATTTAGAATAAAGACTCTCCTGTGATTATTATTGATTATTAAAATAACATTCTTCCCCCAACTCTTTTCAGTCAGCCAGTCATTAACACTTTAAGAGTTGTTGAAATCACCTGGGGATTTATCTGTATCTCAGAGTACCTGAATCAAGACTGCAAACCAGTGTGGAACTGTATTGGGACTGCTAAAAGGACTGCATTGTTAACAGGAGATAGGTGGTGTGGTATCTCCCATCACCCACCCCTCCTACCCCTGGACACCACTAATCTTCTGTTTACAGTGCAATTCTTGAAACTGCTTATCTTCTGCTTACAATGCAGTCCTTTTAGCAGTCCCAACACAAGTTTCACATTCATCTGCACTCTGATTCAGATATTCTAAGGACACAGATTAATCCTCAGGTGGTTTCAATGACTCTCAAAGTGTTAATGACTGGCTGATTGAAAAGATTATAACTCCTTCCTTTCCGACCAATCAATTAGAATGGAAGAAGCTTCTTGGAGAAGTGAAATGTCTTCAAAACAACAAAATAAGAAAATCCAGTTGTGCTTGAAAAAAAATGCAACGTTGGGACAACCGTGACCTGGATGACTGAGAATCTTTGTAGGCATTTATTATTGTATATTTTAATAAATATGACAAAGTGGCCTTTCTCTCTTAGTAATGTCCCTTCTGTTTCTTGTCATTTACTTTCTCTACCATACACTGTTGATTGCAATAAGGAGACATGCATTACAGAGCTCTGGATTTATTTCTTGCACAGGTATTTTGAAATTATCCTAAGGGCTGCGTGGTATTCTAGGACCACAAATCGCCCATTTTGGATTATAAACTAAGAGAGATACAATGTAAATCTGATCAGTGTGTCTAATACAGACATATCAAACTCGTGACGTCAATGACGTCACGCAATGTATCGGGACAGTTTTGCCATTGCTGGCAATGGGGTGGGCGTGGCTTCTGAATGACATATCCGGCCCACAGGCCAGTTTGATACCCCTGGTCTAATAGCAATAGCATTTAGACTTATAAACTGCTCCACAGTGCTTTATAGTGCTCTCTGAACAGTGTACAAATGTCAGCATATTGCCTCCAACAACCTGGGTCTTCATTTCTCCCAACAATCTGGGTCAAACCTTGAGCCAGTCAGGATCAAATTCCTGACTGTGGGCTGAATTAGCCTGCAATACTGCATTCTATCCACTTCACCATCATGACTCCTTCCTCATAGAAAGTCTAGCAGAATATCTTTCAGACAATGAAGACCATTACTCTGGTGAATTATAGTATTATCCAGCCATTACTGTCTTAAATCCTGTCTTAATTTATCACAGGATTCTAAATTAGTAATGTGAAATGTTTCTTTTTCTCTCATTCAAGGTCAGTGCTTTAATCCCTATTTGCACTACTCCCGAGTTTTAAGAACAAAAATTCAATTTTTATGAGTTCAGCTGGGTATATGAAGACTCCTTCAAGGGAGATGTGCATAGAGCAGACAAGGACATTGGATATGAAACTAGAAATTGATCAAGTTCCACTTCCTCTCATGTTTTGTTTGAACATGCCATAAGAAAACTTTTGGAAAAGAGTTTATACTCAGAGAGTGTAAATTAACTAAAGCTTTCTTTTGTAGCTTAAATCCAATAAATTCATATGACAAAGAGAACAATTATAGGTATCTTAAATTTTACTGACATCTATTGCAGTTGGAAACATTTACAAAAGCCTATTATGAGCATGTTGTAAGCTAAAGGAAGTAACTTTCTAGTACAAAGTGGAAAATAGTTGGCATTCACTCATAAAAAGAAATGTAAACAGCATTGTTTAAATATTACACATGTTAATAGTGGAGAAGGTAAATTGGGGTATTCAGTTCTGGCTGCAAACTAGAATTTTTGCTCCGTAATTCCATTTGTTCAGCAATGGGTTACTCAATGGGACTGAACATATGGGATTATCCTAAACATTCTTCCAGCGAGATGGCTACCTTCTGAAGCAGACTGGGTGGGAGAAAGTCATTCATATATGGTTGGTTTTAATCTAAAAAAAGGGGGGGGGACAAGAAACAAGCCCTTTGTCCAGTGGTGGGATTCAGTCGGTTCACACCACTTCAGCAGAATCGGTAGCTAATTTTTTGTTGCCCAGGCCCAGAACGGACTTCCAGAAGCGGCATCCACACAGAGAACCGGTTGTTCACATATTTGAATCCCACCACTGCCTTCGTCCCCTGGTCTTATCAAATCTACCTTATATTTTCTTAACTGATTCTTCCGGCCCTGCACCATTGTCTAACAAATTGAAAAGAGGAAAAGAACTTTTCGTTATGAAAAATTAAAGTAGAGGAGCAAAGAGAAATAAAATGGTAACAAAACATGTTCTAACATGTATTTCAGTATTTGTTTATTTTGGTAAAACAATAATGTTTGAATAAGGAAAAAAATATGAAAAGGCTGTCATTTTTTTGGACTGTGTTGTTTGTTATCAAATTCCTTCTTATTAGATTTGCCTAAAATGGTTTTCAATTTTCTTGCAATTTTAAGAGAGCCAGTTTGGTATATTGGCTCTAAGTCACTGGGCTAGATACCTGGAGGCCCTACATGGGTGGAGTCCCACCTTAGGTCTGAAACCAGCTAGGTGACCTTGAACTAGGAAGCAGGTAATGGCAAACCACTTACAAAATCTTGCCAAGAAAACTGCAGGGACTTGTCTAAGCAGATGCCAGAAGTCAAGGCACCAAAAATAAATAATGCTGTTTCTAGGTGTGACAGGTTCAGGCAGTCCATAGGAATGTAAACAATTCAAAATTATTAAATAAGTTATTTTAAAAATCAGTTAATGGCATTGTTTTTTAAAGTTGTCAGTAATTAATAATTTGGTATTTTATTTTTAAGAGTTGTTTCTGAATAATTATGTATTTAGCCAATATTTTTTTATTTTTGCTATTGGCAGAATGCATCTAAAATGTAATAGAGACTATTCTGGTTATCTGTTTAAAAAATAATAAAAGGAGCATTTAGCAGGCTGGGCTGCTTAATCTTTTCATTATGACAATTTTATAGATGTGTTCTTTTCCCCATGTTTCTTTGCACATTTTCCAGCCAGCACAATTTGAATAAATAAAAATGGGAATGGGAATGGGAAAACATGGGAAAGTTATTTTTCCATAATAGTAAAATTGGCCCTAAGTCAAAGACATCAAAATCAGGGATTGCCTGAGACCTCTCCAATATTGTTTTAAAGTATTTGGAACTATAGTTCTGGGATTTGGAACCTAGTTACAATTTTAAAAATGTATCCTGAATCTAGGCTATTCAGCTCTGATATACAAGTATGGGGGGGAAACCTTCGAGATTTAGGATTTTTGGATGTTCAGCAGTACATTCAAGTACATCAGGACTAAGCATTTTTGATAGAGAAATATGGAAAAAAGCATAACTCAGAAGTACATAATGTGGCTTTGTCACACCAGTGGTCTATTAGTGACTACCAAGATCCTTCTGCAGCATCTGTATTCAGAAACTGCTCAGGAAAAATAAAATGGCAAATATAAGTTAGAGCAGCATCCCAGACAAATTGGAATGCAGGGAGAAACAGCACAATTTTATTTCCTACTTTAATTGTTATTTTAGCCAAGAAATGATAATGTACCCATGAGCCTCATAGCACATATCACAGCCTTGTGCCCAGGGCAGTCAAGGAATTCAAACAAAATTTTAACTTGGGAGGAAAATTAAAAATATATTTCTAGTTACAGATATGACCACTTTCCATTTGAAATACACTGGTTACCAACTGTAATTCAAGATGTTGGTTGTCATGAGAAAAGTTTAGATTATGGCCTGGTTACTATGGATCATATTTTTCCTGTTGTTTTTACCTAATAAACAATAAGGTCTTGAATTGGTGTGCTCTGGCTCCAGCTGTCAAGCAATGACATCATGTGGAACACAGGATACATTCATTCTCAGTGGCTGTGTTTGCCCCATGGAACAGCATCTCTCTGAGGTCCATATGGCTCCAAATCCAGTAGAGCCGAGGTGGCACAGCAGTTAGAGTGCAGTACTGCAGGCCACTTCAGCTGACTATGTTCAGCAGGTCAGCGGTTCAAATCTTACCGCCTCAAGGTTGACTCACCCTTCCATTCTTCTGAGGTAGGTAAAATGAGGACCCAGATTGTTGGGGGCAATGTAAATATATATATACATTGCTTACTGGTGTACACCGTTTAGAGAGTGCTTGCACTTAAAGCGGTATATAAGTCTCATTAAATAAATAAA